GGAGCTCCCACAGAGAAGGCCCTCCCCCTTGGGGTCGCCAGCCGGCACTGTCTGGCCGACGGTACCCTGAGGAGACCCACTCTGTGGGAGCGTACAGGTCGATGGGGGGTAATCTGCGGCAGGAGGCGGTCTCGGAGATATCCAGGTCCGATGCCATGGAGCGCTTTAAAGATGATGGTCAGCACCTTGAAGCGCACCCAGAAGGCCACCGGCAGCCAATGCAGCTCGCGCAGCAGCGGTGTTACATGGGAGCGACGAGTCCCTCCCAACACCGCCCGCGCGGCCACATTTTGGACTAGCTGGAGCCTCCGGGTGCTCCTCAAGGGGAGCCCCATGTAGAGAGCATTGCAGTAGTCCAGGCGGGAGGTGACAAGGGCATGAGTGACTGTGCGCAGGGCGTCCCGGTCCAGAAAAGGTCGCAACTGGTGAATCAGGCGAACCTGATAAAACGCCCCCCTGGTCACGGCCGCCAACTGGTCATCCAGTCATCCAGGAGGACACCCAAGTTGCGTTCCCTGGAGCCAGGCTCGTGTACCCTCCCGAGCCGCCAGTACCAGCCAGGAGGGACACGGATCCAATAAACATGTGGTTGCATTCAGCCTCCCCAGGATCCTGTCCACGTCCTCGGGAGCCACAGAGTCAAACTCCTCCCATATAATAGTCTCAAGACCTGCTCCCACCACCTCCCCCGGGGCCACCCAGTCAGAGTCCAAACCCTCTCGGATCCGAGCGACTTTGTCATGCAGATATTGTGCAAACTCCTCAGCCTTCCCCACCAGGGGGTCCCCCCCCTCAATTGAAGGAGGGAGCGGGTCACCCTGAAGAGGGAGGCCGGGCGGTTATCTGATGACGCAATGAGGGTGTAGTAGTAATTAGAGTAGTAATTAGACCTCGCCACCCTCATTGCCAATTGATAAGATACTTATAATTTCTCTCACCTGTATCTGTATAATCTACCTTCCATTTCCTTCCTCATTCCAGTTTATGCATCTGATGAAGTGAGCTGTAGCTCACAAAAATTTATGCCTTTTAATACAGTGGAAAGGATGCTACAAGAGTCCTCATGAGCACTGCGGGTGAGGTCATTTTAGTTGCTCCTCTCCTATTCCAGAAAGGATTCAAAGGGCGAATAATACCAGGTTGGGTTGCCTTGCTCCTTTCTTCCCCTGCATGGTGCATGTCCAGTGGCCCATCAATCTTCCTATCACTCGCCTTTCTTCCTCATTTATCTCCATTTTATTTTTTTATAAATAACTCCAGGTGACAAACATACCTAATAGTTCTTCCTCCTATTTCCCCCCACAACAACAAATCCATGAGGGGTGTTTGGCTAAGAGAGAATGACTAGTCACCCAGCTACAGTAGTGGCCAAAATCGTGGAAACCTTTTGGGAAAAGTGTATTTTTGAGGTTTGATGACTAACAACACCACTTTTGGGGGGGAATAGTACCATAAAATTATATATCAGTGGAAAGATAATTTAATCAAGCATGTAATGCAACAAAGTTTGTTCAATTATCTGTACTTTATTCTATGAAAAGTTATAGCCAAATAACCAGAAAAAGGAAGCACAACTTGGTTAGGTTGATATCAGGTAGCTTTCCTTCATCTGATTGTAGCCAATGAGCATGAGTGTTTAGAGAGCCAATCAGGTGCCAACTTGTTTTGGCAATGAGCCAGTCAGATCACAGTAGGATTCAGTTATTAATGTCATGTATTGAAGCTGAGAGGAGGACATTTGTCAGTGTGTTATGTGATTGCTATCAAGTTGGTTGGTTTTTTTTGTGTTATTTCATTTAGTGAGCTTGTAAAACATAATAAAATTAAAGTAATGGTGCAAAGAGTTAACTGGTTGCCCAGAAAGCAATGTAAAATAGTATTAAGTGAACAAGGCTACAGTTATAAAGAAATTAGAAGAAAAATTGGTGGAAACTTAACCAAAGGTGGCATTTCTACTGTGCACTTTTCCCAAAAGGTTTCCACAATTTTGGCCACTACTGTAACTTGCATGCCTAAAGCAGGACCAAAACTCACAGTCTTCACATTTCTAGCCTGGTGCCTTAACCCAAACTGGCTCTCAACTTAGTCATAACATGAAGCATTTGTATCCTCTGGGATGAGTTGTTGAATATAAAGTGGGATCACAGAAACTCAGTTGTAGATGATGTCACCAACCATCTGCTTCCATCAGCAACCCATCATTCCTTCATTTACCTTCTGATCAGTTTTTTTCTACTACTGCGGATCTTGCCTTTTTTGTCCTCTGTCCACTCAAAACGCTTGTTTCTGGAGCAGATTTGAGTTTGAGGGCTGTGCCCCAACAAAATCCATGGTCAGAATTATTGGTGCACCCCTGTTTTGCACAATCTGATGAAAGTCTATTTTAACCTGCCTCAGCTAGGATAGGGAATGGGAGGAAGACGATGTAAGGAGCACATGGAAGACAAAGTTTGCCATACCAGGTTCAGGCTGTGCTTAAAGTCAGGGAGGAAAGAGCCCTCGGCCTTTAGATCCACTTCGGATAGAGAGGTGACCTCAGCGTCCCTCTTCCCTCCCCGAGCTGCCGTTTCCCTGAGAGGTAGCAAGTGCCTTTATTGCAGCCTACACACCCACTCAGCAAACAAACCCTGGGTCGTCTCGTTCCTGCGCGCTCTCCCCGGACTTTTGTCTTTCTAAGGGGGGCTGGGAGGGTGAGGTCCGCGCGCCCTCCCCCCAAAAGCTTCGTGCTGTCGGTGGCTTACCCTGAATTCCCAATAAGCAGGATTTTGAGGTGTGAACGTCTGAACATGGGGCGTCTCCGCCAGAACCTGCAAAGAGAGAAGTTGGGGACTCAGGCGCTGCCACATCATCTGGCCCAAGGGTGGCTTCCCCCGGAATCCGGTCGCCCGTCTCTCGACGGCAGCGAAAAACCGGTAGCTTAGAGGAAAACTTAGGACGTTCTTACTTTTTGCCGGATTACTTCCCCCTCCCAACTCCTCCCTCCCCCCATGGTGGCTCTCTTACTCCTAGGGCACCCGCCTCTGCCTTTTCGCTTCTCAAACTGCGAGGGAGGGAAGGTACTGCGCCAAAGCAGGTTGTTCCTCAGTTTCCTCCCAGGAGCAAGATAAGGTGCTTGCAAGCGCGCGCAAGCAGCCACGCCTGCCGCTGCTGGGACTCGAGGCTGAGCAGCGGCTCCCTGAGGAAATTCCCGGGTTTTGTCCTTCGTCGGCAAAAGGACATACCGGGTTTCTCCCAGGAGCCGATAGCTTGGAAGGAGCAATTGACCAAAGGAGGAGTCCGCTTGGATCTTCCCGTCTGCTAGGTGTTCCAGGCCTCAGTATCAGGACTTCTGGAGCTCTGAGAGAGCGGGAAGAAGGTTTAAATAGCTCCTGAGCAAGTGCAGACTATTTTCTTTTGGAACCAATCTGTGTTCTACGTAGTATGCCATTGGGCCAATTGAGACAGGCATTCACCATATTTTGAGGGCCAGGAATGACGGCCTACTGGTCACTTGTTTGAAAACCCCTTCCCTTGGAGAATAAAACACCACACTCCTAAATCGGGGTGCAGTGAAAGATGGGATGAAGCTGTTTGATCTGAAGGAAGGTCTACAATTGCTATCCATGTTGTCTCCTATTATGCCTAAAGCCAAGGGCAGCAAAATCTTAGGCTGCCCTTGGGCAAATGGAGGCAATTGCCTTGGGCCACTCATTTGGATTATCAAGGAAAAGCATTGAACCAATTGTTGAGTTCACTGGTGCGTATTAACTTCCAGGAACGGGGTAAGGACATGGAGACAAATATACAGTACAGGTAGTCATCAACTTACAACAGTTCATTTAGTGACCACTCAAAATTGCAATGACACTGAAAACTGACATGACATGTGTTTTTCACACTTATGACTATTGTAGCATCCCCAGGGTCAGGTGATTAAAATTCAGATGCTTAGCAAATGACTCATATTTATGACAGTTGTCCTAGGGTCATCTGATCACCTTTTGCAACCTTCTGACAAGTAGTCAACAGGGAAACCAGATTCACTTAACAATTATGTTATTAACTTAACAACTGCAGTGATTCACTTAAGTGTTGCAAGGTAAGTTGTAAAATGAGGCAAAATTCACTTAACAATGTCTTGCTTAGCAACAGAAATTTGGGGCTCAATTATGGTCGTACATCAAGGACCACCTTGAAATTCTTCCTTAGGAGCCTTTTTTTCTGAACTGGGGTGCTGCTGTGAAGGCTGTTCCACAGGAAAGCATTTATATGAGATGTCTTTAACAAATTCCCTTCACAGCTCATATGCTTGCCTCGCCCTTCCCAATCTGCCCTATCCCCTTGAGCTTAATAATTGTAATAGCTTACCTTGCAGGACTGTTATAAGCATTACAATAGAATCATGCTTGTAAAAACTTTGAAACAACTTAGAAGACTAAAACTGAAGCCTTTTCTTTGTACTGCAGAAATGCCCAAGCATACATTTGAAATATATGGGACTTTTCTAAATCATTAGAACTCTCCTCTGACAATATACTACATTGCAACTGAGTAATGTAAGAATGAACAAGAGATCCAACTCTGCCCCAAAGAACTTAAGATTATATTTAGATAAGAGACAATTGATGGGTTTATTCCCATTGATTTCCACAGGTTTTATAAATTAAAATGCCTTTAAAATGTTATGCTGTGTATTAAATAGTGAGCAATAAATAGTGAGCAAATAAAAGGGATGTGGCTTGAATTGTATCGACTGGGTATGGGAAATGTATTTTCCATCCTGAGTCAGAAATGCATGTATGTCTTCTCAAGAAGGAAGAATAGTAGATGTTTTAGCACTCCGTATGCCTATATGCAAAGGAAAATACTGTCTTGCATTTTTAATGTATGGGGGGGGGGGATTCTGCCTGCCAAGATATTATTTGCTTAGTCAGGAATGGTCCCCCCTCCATCTATTTACTTGGGAGTGGTTAGGCTCAGTTTAAATCTAGGGTTTCTGGGTTATTGTGTTTTTTTTCAGATGAATACGATGCATTGTTTTTCTGCAGAGCTCAAGCCCACAGCGGAACACAGCTGCGTAAAGGTTCAGGAAGGCAAAAAGAGAAGGGAGGGATCCCTGGCAGGGCGATCTCTGCGCAGATACTATCCACAAATCTGCTCCCGTTTCTCGACCATCTTTGTTGTTTTCACTATCTTAATTTAAATTTAATTTATTAATTAAATTTATTAATTCATTTATTAATTTCACTATCTTAATTTTAAATCGCCGCCGGTTGTCACCATTACTAAATCATTCGAAGTGGAAAACGCTTTGTTGATTTACACACAAGGAATCCCGGCGATAAATCAGTGGAAGAAAGCTTAATTGCCCGCCCCTGCCTTAAAGAAATCGCTGCTTCTGTGATTAGTCTCTATGCCCAGAGTTGGGTAATTAGTTGCTCCGTACGGATTCCCGAAGTGCTTTAAAATGCTATGCGCAAAGAATCCACTAACAGTGCTGTAGATTTTACAAGGGAAAGTTTTATATACATCAGCGGGCCCGGGAATTAAAGGTGAAAGATAGCGGTTATCTTGGTTTTTTTTTGTTTTGGTTTTTTTTTTGTTATTATTCTGCCAGGGTCGGGAGCAGTTCACAGCAATTTTAGGGTTAAAAAAGATTCTAGGGGAAAAAAATATCTCCAAAACAACTCTTCCCCCACTCCTTTGGACTAGGATCAGGTGACTCAGACAAATCATATGATCAGCGACTCACTAATTGGTTAGATTTTTTTTTTAAAAAAAGCACGGGTCACATACGAGAATGTGCTGATGCCTCGATTTGCTTCACCAGCGGCAATAATAGTTAGATCTCTGGATTTGTCAGAGCTCAATTAGACTAAGCAGCAGAAATGGATCGGCAGAAAACGCTGCACAGCTGGCAGGAACGAATCTCTCAAGAGCTGGACTCGGTGGTGGATTTTTGGCTACGGCACTCCCACGATAAGGAATATGGGTGAGCTTCGGTCTGTGAAATGCAGCTCTTAGATTTCCTGTGCAGTGCAAGCCAAGCCGATGCGGTTGGTTTAGAATACAGGGCATCGTGTGAATTCGCAGACGAGTTGAGTAAACGGTAGTTCAGATGATCATGCGTGATACGAATATAACCTAGTCTTAAACTTAAACTATTAAAAGCATACTTGAAAGGAATAGGAACCGTATGCTTGCTACTGTTGATGCTATTTTTAAGCAAACTCTATTAAAAAATCGAAAGGATGCAGAAAGAAACCTTTTTAAGACGAGGGGATGCTTTTCCCATATAGCCCAGCCATTGTAGGTTTGTAGCTCTTAGCAGTCCTGGATTATTACTTGAGAATAATAGGCATTAATGTCCAGCATACTCTGGATTTATGATGTATCACATATCAGATCTGGCTGTGGTTGGATTCACACATCATGCTAAGCTTAATTTATATTTTGCTTGTGGTTAGTGTTTTTTTTTTAATGAACATAACTAAAGGTAGTTTCTTCAGCAAAACACAGAGAAGCAAACGGTGACATAATATGTGGATCAGCTCTTTCTCCTTCTCAATAGTATTCAAAATTTGCTAAGATAACTTATTTTCTTTGCTTCTTGAAGAAGCTAGCTACAGATGCCTTTGTTTAAAAAAATATTGCTAGTTGCCCTGTTAATGCTGTTTCTGGGAATCGCTGTTTAGTTCCTCTTTTTCTTTCTCAGAGACATTTAAGTTGCTGGCTAGGAATTCTGGGAGTTGTAGTACAATACTTCTGGAAACCAAGTTAAAAAAAGCTTTCAGTTTCTTTCTTGTTCTAAATGCTGCTGCCTCTTTTATTTTTCCAGAGGGTTCTTTACATGTCTGGACCAGACTGGAAAGGTTTATGATGATCTGAAGTATGTATGGCTACAAGGTCGACAGGTAACTTTCAGATTTTCTGTTTTTATCCCCATTGAAAGTTGGGAAAGTAAACTGAGGCAAGCTTCCTTAATACAAATCATAAAAATGTGAGCCTTGGGAATTTGTTGAATCCTGGCTTCATGATTCATTTAGAAGGGATGGAATAAAAAAGATAAAAGATTCAATTACATTTGAAACATGTGGAATTTCTTGTCTTTAAATGCAGAGAAATTCTGCCAATCCTTTCCCATTGCTCACCTCATAGATTAAGCCAAAAGGTAGGAGCATCTGCAACTTTTTCTAATTGTGTGTGGCTCTTACAACCAAAGCTATAGATATACCACATTCTTTAAATCTGGAGCAGCCATAATTTTGAATTGAAATGCTTATTGTAAATTATGCATTTTGATTTGCATAAACCTAGGTTGATAACTGTTGTGGACTTGGATGGCATGGGTAAACCTAGGATTTTGATTTAAAAGATGCACACAAAGCAGAGTAAGATGTTTAGCAGATTGTGGGAATATCGATATTCAGGAAAATGTTTTTTAATGTAATATTTCTGTCCTGAGCTCTCACATATATCTTTAGAATAGGAGAAAAGAACTGGTAGTCCTCCAGATATTGATGAATTACATCTTCCAACAACCCCAGCCAATAAGAGATTGTAATTAGCAATGTAATTAGCAATATCTAGACTACAGGTGTCAAACTTGCCACATCATGTGATGTGTTGCGACGTATTGTGACTTTTTTTGCATTGCCAGAGCTGGGGTGGGCGCGGCCTCCATTTGATGCAACGGGCCTGCGGGCCAGCAGTTTGACACCCCTGATGTAGACGGTCACAGGTTCCCCATCTCTACTTTGGAAGTTAAATACAGGGCTGGTTAGTGAATAACTGTGAACAAGCACATCCTGGCATTATTCTTAGCACTAAGCAGAAGGCAGACATTAACCCTGGAAGGGAAAAATGTCATAGGGTAGACGAGAGAGTAGAAAGCAATCCTGTAAACTTTGCTCATATTGGGCTGCAGTTCCAGCTGTTTACTTGTTCATCCAAAGGATCGTCTCTTGGCAAGAACCTTTTTTACCACATTTGGTTAGGTGGTGGGTCATGACACATACCAGAGAACTCAGTTGGATTTCTGCAATCTTTTTCC